AAGCTAAAAGTAGTGTTACTAAGTATAACATGGTCCACAAGCGAATGTTCAACACAAGCGAGTGTTCCGCCCCACCACTAAAACGCAGCCAACCTACTACTAACCGCGATGCATTAACAACTATATAATTAATTATCTTTAAAAGAGGCTAGAATTAACCTAGCTATTTAAGCTTTTAATAAAGACGTGTCTTTAACTAAAAGGCGCGCTGCAGCACTCTATAATGTTAATTAAATGGCTCTCTGCCAACAACGCGCAGGGATAACTATGCAACGCAACTGTATAGCTAACAACAAGAAGCTTACAAAGCTAGAAGAGGAGGTAATTATTAAGCATATACTTAATCTAGATTCCTAAGGATTTGCGCCTACTCTAGGTGCTGTATAAGAGATAGCTAATAAGCTTCTTACTAAGCGCAGCGCTCTACTAGCAAGTATTAACTAGCTATCTAACTTTGTTGCGCGTACGCTAGCAGTTAAAACTTACCTTAGCTAACTATATAATTACTAATAAGCAAAATGCAAAGATCTAGTAATTATAAGTAAGTAGTTTAAGCTTATAAAAGCTATATAATTAAAGTATAGCATTATAGATTAGGACATGTATAATTTTAACAAGACAGGCTTTTAGATAGGGGTTATATTAAGCTAAATAGTTATTATAGGCATAGATAGACATAATTAGCTAAAGGCTATACAGCTAGGCAACTGTAAATAGGTAACAGTTATTGCAGGCATTAACATAAATAGGTGGGCAATACCTTTATACACAATCTTTAAAGGCAAGCATCACCTATCTGCCTAGTATAAGGATAAGGATATACTAAAGGACTAGGCTATTAGTGTTAGCAACAACAGCTAGACAACTAACAAACATAAAATTACATAGCTAGAGCACTTTAATCTACACATAAAAGATTACTTAGTAGGCTTATAGCAGCTACTTATTTTTAATAGCTATAAGAGCTATTACTCTGTTAAATTCCTAGAGCTTTGTAAGCAGAGGCGTATTATAGCGCTCTGTATGCCAGCACACGCGTCACATATTCTACAGCTGCTTAACGTTGGCTGCTTTTTACTATTAAAGCGCACATACAGTACTAAGATTAGCTAGTTAATTTACTACTAGATTAACTATATTAACAAGCTAACCTTTCTACTAGCCTTTAAAGCAGCATTTAGTTACTTAATTATAATAGATAATATCTGCGCAGGCTTTAGAGCTACAGGACTAGTCCTATTTAACCCAGAGCTAGTGCTCTTAAAGCTTAATATATAGCTACCTAATTAGCTAGCTACTCTACTACTAAATACTACTTAGGAGGCTTAAACACCTAGTAATCTTTATAAGGTTAAGGCTTAGTTAACTCTACTATATAATTAGATTTAAAGGCATTAGAATTTATTTTTTTTTGCTATGCTTAATCTAGCAAAGCAGCTAAGTAAGGGCGCTACTAAGATAGCTTATGTTGCTGTTCTACAGCGCAATTAAGCAGCTGCCCTAGAGAGGGCCTATAAGGCAGCTACAAAGCGCAAGCAGCGTAAAAAAAAGTAAATTTAGAAAAAAGAAACTCTAACAAGTTATTAAGGCTCTAAGTTAAGTACTTAAAAGCTTACTAGTATAGCAGGAGGTAGCAAAATGCCTTAGGAGGAGTTAACTGCTAAAAGCAGCGCAGCGCGCGCACAGCGCTGCAAGCGCTGCAACAAGCCTAGGCATAACTCTTATACATATAAGGATATTAAATAATCCTATAGTAGTTTATTTTATATAGTATATTTTTGCGTTGTTAAATTAATAGTCTTTAAAGTTAAATTTAGTGGTAGGGCGGAACACTCGCTTGTGTTGAACATTCGCTTGTAGACCATGTTACTTACACTTTACTATTTTAACTTAGTTTTGTAAACTAAAATTAAAACTAACACTTTAAATAAAGTAGTAGCAGGAGTTTTTTTTAAGAATAAGTAAATAAAAATTAGTGCCTAGTTTTATTCTATAATAAGGTCTTATCTAGTTTAGAGCTAAACTAAAAGATCTATAATAAAAAGCTATTTATAATTATTACTATGTTTAAATAATAAAGACCTAAGCTTACATTTATAGTAACTAGTACTTTAGTATATATAAATTATTATTTATTAAAGTATTTTATAATAATAAAGGTACTTAATGCTTGCTAGGTCTATTAGGCTAAAAAGTTAGCTTAGTATTACTTTTAAATTAAGTACGCCTTTAGTAAAAATAACGCTAGAGTAGACATTCTTAGCTATTATAAGTAAAATATAGAAAATTTAAAAGTAGCTTAAACTAATAACTAGTTAAAGGTTCTACTTAAGCTGTACTAACTTTACTTTTAAATTAACTATAAACTAGCCTAGTACTATATTACTTAAACAACAACTTAAGCAGCTATACTAAATGTTATAAAAAAACTAAACTAGGTTATGTCCTTAGATTTTTTAAAATTAATTAATATACTACTTTAAAAAAATTAAGCCTTTTTTATGTAAAAGCAAGAACTCTTACTCTGCTATTATTAAATAGGAAATAGACTACTCTATTATGCTAACTGCTTATGTATGCTAGCAGACTTATTACTGTGTACCTAGCTTATTTAAAAAGTCTATAACTAAGTATTTTTAGCACACTTAAGTGCTACTAAGTCTTATTAGTTACTGTTTTAAAAGTACTAATAAAAAAGTCTAAAGGCTACATATAAATAATATATATAAAATTACTTTTATTATTATAAGGCTTATTTAAAATAAACTTAAACTCTAAACTTTATTTACCTTTTACTAATTCTTAATTAACTAATGCAGCATTTATACATTAACTTTAAGAAGTTTCTTAAAAATAAGTCTAGATATAATTAGATTATAGTTATAATTAATTACTTATTTAAATAAGCTATTTTTATCTCTTATTATAAAATAATTAACACTTAAGAAATAACTGCTGTATTTATTTAATAAGTGTACTATTGTAGCTACATACCTAAAACTATTATTTTTAATTAAGAACTTTACTTTATATTTAGTTTCTAGTCTAAGTTTTATTAAATTTTAAGTATAAAAGTTAAGCTTTTTACTGCTTACTATAAAAAAAATAAATAGCTAAACTAAGATTATAAATAAGTACATTAATTAAAAACTAAAGCCTGCATTAGCAGCTTTAGCAGCATTAACGCAACAATGTTGCTTAGCTTTAGTAACACAGACACCTTTAACACTATATTCTTTTATTATGCTAGTTAGCGCTAGAATAGTTAAGAATAGCGCACACTAACCTTCTTAAATAGAGTTATAGCAGCTTTATTCTTATTAGAGTCTTTTTTAAGCGCTTTATGCTTTTTCTTCTCTTTCTTAGTAATATTAGCTTTAGAGCAGGTGCGCTTCTTAAAAACAACCCTAGTCTTAGTAATTTTACCTATAACACTACTGTGCGTGTACAGATAGTTGTTGTACAGGATTTTGTTTTTGCTATAAGCTATTAAGAGCTAGAACAGAGCTAATTAAGCTAGATTATACTGCAACAGAAAAACTTATGCCTAAAAGTACTAAATAATAGTGTTTGCCTATAACATAACTATTATGTTAGCCTATGCTAACTAAGTAGGATTAAGCAGATTAATAAAAAACATAATATTAAAAATAGTGTTCTTAAAAGCCTAATGTTTAAGTTTAAAAGAGACAGGAAGCTATTTAGGGTTAGCATAGACAGACTACGTGTAAATACGCTAGAAGAAGCTAAAATATGCACTTTAAAGCACTTTTTACTAAATTTAAAGTAATAAGTATACTTTATGTACTTAATTTTTTTTTTCTTTATGCTATAATGCAACTTATTATTTATAAGTATATAACAGCTACTACTTTTATTTATAATGCTCTTACAGGACATTTTATTAACATATTAGACATAAAAGTTATTAGAGCGCAGGTTTATATTAGTAGAAGCTAATTAATTTTTTTTAAAAAAAACTATAGCTAGATTATAATAAAGTAGGCTATAAAAGTTTATTTTAAAGTTATTTAGTAAAGTTAAGTATAAGAGAAAAAGCTAAGAGCAGATTAGGTAACAGGCAGGCGTAAGTAAAGTAAAATAGGACTATTAAAGCTTATTAGCACCCCTTTATGCTAGATTGCGCTAGAGTAGCTTAAAATATACTTACCTTAAAAAGCTTAGAATCTTCTAAATTCTAACCTGTAGAGAGGGCAAAGGTGTAAAGGAGATAGACTTCTAGGATAGTTAGACCCTATATATACTATTCTAACTACTACTCTACTAGTATAAGATAAACTACTATTTTACTTTTACTTCTACTTAGTACTTTTACTTTACTTTTACCTAAGAACTCTAGGTTGTTTTTAAATAAACTTGCATAAAATTAACTAAAATAGGTAAAAGTAAGCTTTTAGAGCATTACATAACACTATATTATGCTACTTAGGCCTATTGTTATCTGTTCTATCCTCTAAGTTGTAGGACTACTATAAGAGGGGATAATGTAAGGCCAGATGTCCTAGAACGGGCTAGTGTGGCCTCACCTGACCTGTTTGGAGGTCATATGACCTGTGCCTTGTATATAAGCATGAATCCTGACAAGTGAAGCTTGGCAGCGATTCGTCTCTCTTACAATACACTCCTATCTTTCTCCGAAACCTTGCTCTCGATGCTATCAGTGCTATCTACCATCCCATCTTTACATATAAAGTGTAAGTCTAAGGATAAAGAGAAAGCGCAGGCAGTTATTTGTTTTAACAAAGCCACTTTAGTTCTTACCCTAATAGGTAAGGATGCAGGGGGCGGGAAGCTTATGCCCTCTTAGGGCAAGCCTTTTAGACAGAAACTACACGCATGGACATACCACACGCATAGACATAGTGGAGAAAGATCTTGCCCCTAGGGGCGAGCCTTTAGTCTAGAGCCCAGAGGCATAGATCCAGCACAGGATCCTTTTGCCCCTAGGGGCAACCCTTGAACCTAGAGCGCCAGACGCAATGGATTCAGCGCCAGGACTTCTTGCCCCTGGGGGTAAGCCTTGATGGAAGATCTCAAGACAGACAATCAAACAATATACAATACAATATATATACATTTTTTGGCCCTAGGGGGCAACTTAACCCTATGCTAGTAGTACTGTTTGCCGCCATAGTATCAGAGTCTCAGGCCGGTGCGGATCCCCAATCACAACAAATCAATGCAGCTTTGGCAGCCAGATTCATGACCACTATAATGCAAAAATCCAACACTTATAAGGTACACTCATTTCAACTTTCATTATTGCATGCCATAATACTAATTCAAACCGTGAGGACAGGACTACGACATGAAACTATCTTCGCCACAGGACTTCGCGCTTTTGTGGGAAGTTTTGTTCAGGCACGAGATGTTTCAAGAGCTACGCAGATTCCTTCAGTGCGACGACAGGGAAAGACTTCGGGTACTTGTGCCCCACGAACGTTACCGGCGCTCAGCAAGCCTTCTCACTCTTCAGAAACAGCACCAATGGGACCAAGTGCTGGAGTACTGCCACCATTGGCTCCAAGATGTCTACAGGAACGAGGATCAGGCTCCATTGGACTGGGCTCCATTTGATGCATTGCTCGAACTTTCATGCGAAGATCCGGAGAGGTACTCACTGTCTCCATCTAAGCTTCTAATGCATGACATGCTTATCAAGTGTGTTGATAGATATTGGCGGTCTGTCGGAGCCATTTTGTCTGAACTCGTAGCCTCCGCAAAGACATCTAAAGTGCGACAGAGCAGGGAAGTCCTCCTTGCCACCATACTCTGGAAAGTTCAAGCAGGACGGCCAGGCTGGGTTCTGGGTTCAAATATCAGCACTCTGTTTCCTGCGAACAGCGAGTCTCTGGAGTTGGGAACATCATTTCTTAACTATATCTCCGAGTATGCGAGTAAGCCATGCTGCTTTAATGACCTCAGGCCGATTTTGGACAAGATGTCGGAGCCTGATCAAATGGAATGTCTGGATCTTATTGAGAAGCGGTACGAAGAGCGAATGTCGTTGATGGATTGCAACGTGAGTTTTTTTGTTCAACCCTTCTGTTCACTAGAAGATATCTAACGACGTGAATGCCCAAGTCTCGATTTAGCCGGCAACAAGCATCTGAGGGAGTATCGCTCTTAAAGCTTCTATATCTCCGCGCCACTTTCGAGGAACCAGGGCCCACCCGGTGGCTACTCTCTGAGTCTCTTCGCTTACTACAGCGACTCGATTCTACCGACCTGGAAAATATGAAGGAAGTGTCAATACTCGCCGCCACATGCTGTTTACAGCTCGAAGACCTTAGCCCAGCCGATAGTCACATGCGCCGCCAGCATCTCCACCTCATTTTAGCGGCTATTCTACTCTCTCAGTATCACAAGCTGGACCCAGACGATAGGCAAGTCATCGTGCTATCGATGCGCGTAAACATCGCACTCGGCACTCCATCCATTGCGCTGTCTCTTCTGCAAGATGTTCGTCTCAAGGGCATCCTTTTTGACACGATAGGCCACGAGTTGCTTACACGAGTTTCCTCCTTCGCCCCAATTGATATAGACATTCCCGTACGAAAGGGCGCTCAGCGCACATGTGAGGATCTCTTGGGAACTGTAGATCGGAGCCTACGTTTTTATGACACTTGGGAGCGGGACCTATCAGAAAGACCTGTAGATTCTACAGAGAGACCCCAACATGGGGACATATTTGACGTCACAGTCATGCGCCAAAAGGCTCGGGAGAGCTTTACAAGGCGACTGATTGTTATAGAGCAGCGCCGTCTTGTGCGGGCCAGAAATCGTGAGAAAGACCTCGGCGACTTGTACGAATTCGGTAATTGCATGAGTCTCATCAATATTTATATCTCCACAGATTGATTGACATCCACAGGGTTGTGGCTGCGAAACGTGTCCGACTCGAGGGCTTGGGACTTTGTAGAGCTTTTGGAGCCTAAGCCAACCCAAGCCATCCCTTACCTCTCATTTCAACGGCCCGTCCCAGGGGTGAGTTTTCGTGCGTCTTGTTAGTTTCAGAATCATATTATTCTAAATAATACTACAGAAAACCTGGCTGGCGACGCGTATCCTTCACGATGACACATTGAATATAATTGGTGGTCATGTATCATTTCCGCCATCGGATATCGACACTGCTGAAAAAGTAGCTTCTAGCTGCGCTAACCTCGGGGAAGAGCTTGATACTGCCGAAATGATGGTAGAAGATGGGTGGAAGATTCTAAGATCCTTGGCGCGTAAATCGGGTATAGAGAGTAACGTCCGCGCTGATACGGAATTAGCAAGCCTGATGGTTCAGCTGGGGGAAGAGCTCAGCCGGATTCTCTCCACAATCAAGGGTCATCAAAGCCTCTACGGAAGGTGCACTGTGCTAGAATTTCTCCAAAAGGTCTTCTTGACTTTCGAACTTCTCCGAGGGATCAGATCGTTCGTCAAATGGCACATATCGAATCTGGCACCGAAGCGATTGAATCGAGAGAGCCTCAGTACTCTTGAAGGAGCAGTAGAAAGTTGCTGGATGGCATGTGTCGAATCAACCCAGCGGCTTATAATTCGGTTGCGTGAGCAAGGACTAGCGCAACTTATCGACGAGATAGAGGAAGACGCTCAGGGAAGGGCTATTATGGAACACTTTAGCAAGGAAATAGTAATACAGGAACTTGGAAACTTACAGAAACATAGATTAGCTATTCTAGATACGATCGTTAACTGTACACTACTATAATAAGAGTTAGTAAGATGTACCTTGAGTAATTCGCTACTAGATCTAACTCTTTCCAGTATAGAAGCTTAAAGACTAGATTCAGATTAAATATTATATAGAATAGACTTAGATTTACTATTTAATTCTTACGTAATAGATATAGTAGGCATAGATAGGCTAGCAAATGTACGACTATTAACATTAAAGGCCTTAGCAGCGCGTCGACAACTTCGGAAATCGCCGTCCCGGAAAGCTTGTAGGGCAAGCTCGATTCTACCCTCTTGAGAAGTAAGCAACGCGTTCTGTTGTTGAGGCATCGCGTCGTAGTTGGGGTGGAACTAGTCTTGGCATTTTTGAGACACTCGGTGATCAAGTACGTTAACTAAATTAATGGCCAACCCAACTAGACCAACCTTAACCTAACTAAAAAGGTTGGGTTAGTAGTTCCTGATTCTAAGGTTGCTGAAGAGGTATACAAGCCTCTCAACACGCGTATTAAGGAGCCTATTGCGCGTCTTATTATGTATATACCCATTCGTGCTCCAGTTGCGCTCCGCGGCGGCGCTCGTAGGATTTATGCTGAGGGCGTAAATCGCGAGATCCTTAAGGGAGCTTGAACAGTCCTGGCGGTGCCACCAGTCGGCTGGATCTGAATACTCTGAAAAGCTAAGCTAGCCGACCTCTCCGCCAAAGTAGCCCTTGCGATTGTACAGGTCTTGAAGCTCCTTATATACTGGGGCAGCGGCGTGGGCGCTGCCGAATCGCTCGGCGAGAAATGCGTCAATCTCGAGCCACACCCGGGTTGTGATGTCGACTGGGCGCTCAACCCGCGGGCTGGGGTCGCAAATATAAGCTATTGCAAAAATCGGCTTATACATTTGCTTTAGGCGCTCTCCAATAAGTTTACGAATCTCCTGCTAGTCGAAATACGTTGTGCGGGGAGTAGTAGTCGCGAGCCACCTGAAATATGCGTATATTCGCGACGCCTTCGGATGTACACTTTCGAGTGCGATTGGAGCCTGTAGAAACGACCTAAGGACTTCAACTAAAATGCTGAGACGCTCCCAAAAGGCGTAATCCAGGACAATAAGGCGTATAAACTTCCATCTATCCTTCGCAGCTTGTGTATGGCGCGGTGGGAGTTCATTTTCGGGCTTATTAACAACGATTTGCATCAGCTCAGGGCTGGCCAAAATAGTCTTAATAATACAAATAAGATTATCGGCTATCAGTTATATTTTATTCTAATACTTCAATACTTAGAAATAGTCTTGGCAAAGCACATGCCCTTAAGTACTCTCTAGGGTCAGTCTGTACAAGTTGTTAGCAGAGAGAAGACAATTCTATCTTGATACTAGAGCTAGTACTTATGTGCTTGATAGAGAAGCTGCGTAGCACAAACCTGCTTAAGCTCCTTCTCTACCCACCTTGTACAAAGGTTTAGGTGGAGAATAATAGAGAAGATATAGTACAGAGACTTATCTAGCTTTTCTAGATAGTCTTTTAGCTTCTAAATAGCTTAATAAATCTTTAGCTTAAAGAACTGCTACTTAGCTGTACTAGCTCTAGCGCAAGAGCCTTTTCCTTGCTTTAGTTGCTATAACTAGTTAGTAAAAAGGATAGGCTTGTATAAAGGCTAGAGCTTACTATCCTTGCCTGCTCTCCCTAAAGATATGTAAGGCAGATATCTAGATTTATATACATATAGTAGAGAGAGGCGTTATAGCCCTCTCCTATTAGCATTGCTAAGTTAAATACACTAAGATAGTTGTACATTATATAAAGGTACTCCTGCTCCTAGAAAGTAAGAGTGTTAGCAGTAAGCTCTGCTTTATAGTCCTTAATAAAAGAGAATAGAGCAGGACATACGTAGGGTAAAGAGAAGATAGCATTAAGCATTTAATACTAGCTATTCTATTTTATAGTGTTATTAAGAGAGATCCTTTTTTCTGCACTTTCCTAGAACTCTTTTATACATTAAAGTAATTACTAAATATAAATAATAATATTATAAAGCTTTTTAAGGCATTTAAAAGTTTTTTAAAGCTTAATCTTATTTACTAACTTACTTTTTATACACTTATTAGTGTCTTCTTTCTCTGCTAATTAATTATGTTTAGAATTATATAATATATGTAAGATCTCCTCTCTTTTAAAAAATTAAAAGAGGTATGCCTTAATAATTAGGTTAAGAATATGTCTAAGGCAATGTATCTGCTGCTACCCTAGTGTCTACTCTAGGTCTAAGCAGTACGTTGTATAAAGCTTCTTGCTAAACTTAATACACAGAGTTCTATTTGTCCCTACATTATTGCTAACAATAGTAGCAACTTTACGTACAAGGCCTAGCTTCTCGCCATACTCCTCTATTATAGGCTATATTCCCTGCTTAAGCTGTGCAGAGCTAGCGTAGCTATTAATCTCTTATATTATAAGTAGAATTATTATCTTCTTTTTATCTAAGTTAACAAACTAAGCGCAGATTATAAGTGTAAGATTATTACTTAGTAAGGTTTAAATATTAATAATAAAATAAATTTAAAAAAAAGCTAATTAAAAAGTCTTTTATATAAAGTCCTTTTTTCTTTTAAATAAGGTCTTAATAATATGCTATGTTAACTAGTAAGAGAATAAAATAACTATATAATATTCTAAGTTAATTATCTAAAGAAATGTGTAGAATTTAGAAGATTCTAGAACACTAAATAGTATACTTTATACAGCAATCTATATAGCTAAAGCCTTATAGACTATCTTCTTATTAAGAATTTACTAAAGGACTATTAAATTAAGTTTAGATAACGTACCTAACAGGTTGGCCAGCCACACAGGTTGGCTGGCTACTTTTGCTAAGCCCCTACTAAACTCTACCTATCTACATAATGCCTTAACAACAACACTAGATTAAATTTTTTAAAGAACATTAGATATAGCTTACTCTTTAGGCTTTTAAATAAAACTTAAAACTTTTCTTATAACATGCTGCAGCTATCTATAATATCTCTTACATAATACTAAGTAATTAACACGCTAGACAGCCTTTATAAGCAGAATGCTAGCCTAAATTAAGGAATCTAACTAAGCTTAAAAAAGAGGTAGTTATTAAGTACATATTTAAGCTTATTACGCGCAGATTTCCCCCTAGGCCCGCAGCTGTAGCTAATATAGCTAATTCCTTGCCTACAGAGCGCAATCTAGGCCAGGTTAGCTTAAACTAGCCTAGTATGTAGGTTAAGCACTACTCTAAGTTTATAATAAAGTTTAATTATAAGTATAATTATAAAAGAGCGCTTTATAAGGATCTAGAGGTTATCTAGGGCTAGTTTTGCCTAGTAGCTAACATAAAAGCTAAGTATAGTATCTAGGATAAAAATAAGTATAACTTTAATAAGTTAGGCTTTATAATAGGCTAGATATTAACTAGAGCAGTTATTATAGCTTTAGAGAGATAGAAATAGCTAAAAGTAATATAGTAAAGTAATAGAAAGTAAACAACAGTTATCTATAGCATTAATGTAATAAGGTAAGCTATAAGATTATAGAGCTTTAAGCAGTAAATAAAGCTGCTATGTAACATAGATTACATAAAAAGAAGCAGATTTAGGCAGAAAAGACTTTAATAGTTAAGAATAAAGCTTATCTAACTACTCTAAAGAAGTTTAAAGCGCGTAGTAATAAAAAGAAGCTAAAGACACAGGTGCGCGCTAAAAAAGGTAAGCTAAGTTAAAGGTAATATAAGTAGTGTAATTAGACTAGGCATAACTTGCGTATATGTAAGTAAGTAGTAAAAGTAGACTCTAAATAATATCTTATGTTGTATTACTTTATATAGGGCTAAAGTAGGCTGTTTTGCAAGAGAATAGAGTAGTTTTAGTAGGGGCTTAGCAAAAGTAGCCAGCTAACCTGTGTGGCCAGCCAACCTGTTAGGTACGTTAAGTTACTTTTCTTAGAGAAGGTTTTATAAAGTAACTTAAATTAAGTCTTAGCTTTTTTTATATAACATCCTTACTTAGCCTATACATTAATATTATAGCTCTTTTAAAGGTAATAGCAAAAGTTTGTTGTAACTATCTGTGCGTAGTCATAGTATCTACAGTAGTAGATCTTACTTCCCTTTGCATTATGTGTTGGCTTGCTTAGGTTGTACAGGCGCGTATAGATATTAATATTTAACGCCTTACGTTGTCTTAAAGGAGCTGTGGCAGAGCTAGAGGGAGCTCTAAGGCTATCTTTAAAGAAAAGAGAGGGCGTGCTATCCTCTAGTTCTTCTAATCCTGCAATATCTAAAGCTATAGTTGCGTATAATTTTAGTAGGGCAGTGTGCTAAGACTATTTAATAATTATTAAATAGTTTAATAATTCTGCACGTGATTAATAATTTAATAATTATTAAGCAAATTTTATTTTAGCCAGCCCTGCATCAGCTCGCGATTCCGGAGCACGGACCACATGCCGTGGCTCATGGGTCAATGCGCGCTGAACACCAAACCACCTCAGCCAAACTTGAAGCTATAGAGCTCTGCATAATAGCTATTATTACCGGATATTTTAGGAGAGGGGTCTATAGCGCTCAATAATTAATAATAACTACAAAAATCTACTCGGAGTCTTAATAATCCGGCCCCTGCGTGACTGAGGCTGCAGAGGTCGCGATGCAGCACCTAGGGCCTTAGCAGCACCTACAGCCTTAGCAATAAGCTAATTTTCCTTAATAGCCTTCCTAGGTAGCCTTAAAGCCTTTTTTTCTACCCTTTTTTTACTAATTTTATACAATTTTAGAGTTATTGCTAAGCTCTGCGAGCCTGCTGCTTCTAGGCTCGCTCAGCTACCCGATCAACCTTCTCCTTTACTCAAGCTACTCGCGCCTCAGCCCTCGCAAAGCGCTTTTCCTAGAGTAGCTAAGCCTTAAGCTACTAGCTAGCTCTCCGGGCTTCAGCTGCCTCAGCTTTTTAGAGTAGTAGCTACTTCTCCTCAGCCTCTTTCTGCTATAGACGATCACGTGCCTCCCGCACCTTCCTTAGTAACTAGAAAATCACTCCTCCATAGTACTCGTTAGGCTGCTCAAGCGGCAGAGCCTTGCCACGCTTCCTACGCCTCTTCTTATTGACTAGAGCTGCTCTTAGGCCCTTGTTTTCATGCTAGAGTAGCTGTTTTTAGACTAATATTAAGTAAATTATACAACTTAGCTTCTTTGCCTCAGGAGTACCCATATCTACTACAGCTTTCATAATCCTATCAATTTTTCTCCACTCTAATACACTTAGTACTAAGGTTGAGCTTTCTCTTAATTCCTGCTTAGGCTGTTAGCTAGGCTTAGTAAACTTTCTAAGTATAGCCTTTAGGTTAAGTAGTAATATGCCAGTAGCCTTAAAGGCCTTGATAATTAATAGCTATCTAAATAAGCTATGCTAGGCCCTGTAGAACGGGCTAAAGAAATCCCTCTTAGTTACTAACAATAGGCCCTAGCACTTATAGAGAAAGGCTAATAGCTCAGCTAAGTAGGCAGCTAAGAGAGGCTTGAACATACAGACATCAAGTGGCTACAGCGTATGCGTAGAGTAAGACGGAAGAATAGCTAGAAGGATCTCATTCTTGTCGCAGTAGTTAATAAAATCTATAGTAATATAGGATCCATAGCTGTTAAGGATAAGTAGTCGGTATGCCTGTTAAGCTTTCTTTCGAGTATGACGATCAAACACCTGCTCAAGCCACGCAAGGCCTATATTATTATTTGTCCAGCCTAAAGGAGATGAGGTGATAAAGGCTAAGTATTTATCAGGATTGATTTCTTCAACCCAGCTTGACTGGAGGCTTCCAGACGCGGCCTAATAGATAAGAGCTGGCTCTATAGCTGATCCGTCGGCGTATATACAAGCTAGGAGCGAGATCCAGGAGCGATTCCCATCTTGAATAGCTTGCCTTACTTCCTTCCTCTCGTACATCTGTCTACTAAACACTCGCTTAGAGCGTGTAATATTACTAAGTAGGAAGCCTTTTTCGTCCATATTGTACGTGAGCGAGGCTCAATATTATATTGGCTGATTTTCTGCTGTAGTAGGTTGAAATAGGGGCTGTACTTTGCCTCTGAATCGGCTTTATAGCGATTGCTGTCTATACCAGTCGTCCACTGCAAGATCAGGTGGGTGCTGTTGCGCTTGATGAACTAGTCAACCTAGTACATACTAACGTCGATTTTGGCTATACAGGCTGCGAAATTTTGTATTATTTGCCTTGTAGGTGGTAGGCCTCGCTGAGTAAGCTTTTCAATATAGCGTATAAGCTCGCGCTCTTATTGAGGGCTAAGCTTTCGTCGGTTGAGTCCTGTAGCTTCACGAGACTGCGTTTCAGCCCGGTGCCTCCGCGTCAGCGTGGAGCGTACAACGCCGTGCTTCTTAGCCATTTTTGTATAATTGATTGATTCTCCAGAATCTAAAGATCTCAGTTCTGTAAGCGCGGCCTCGAGTGATCCCATATTGGCGGCGATAGGTAGTGTTGAATATTTATCCTACAACACGGAGTATTCCGGATCCTAGTAATTCCATCCGGCATAAACCGAATTGTAGGACTACAATTCGGAGCGCTCCGGATCGGAGTACTTCCATCCGACATAAACCGAATTGTAGTACTACAATTCGATGTACTTCGGCTATCAGTACTAACAAGAGAAGTACGTCCCCTTGACGTACACTCGCGTGTAGTAGGTCGCATGCTATCACTTCGGGTATCAGTCCTACAAAACGAAGTGCTCTCGATTCATGTATTTCAATTCGGCGTATTTCGGCTTTCAATATGATAAAGAGAAGTCCATCCCTTTGACGTATACTGACGTGGAATAAGTGACATCCCATCATTTCGACTATTTGTCTTACGAAACCAAGTACTCTCGGTTGATATATGACGCGTCTCAAAGCGTACCTGTGCAAGATCAAGGTGGAAGAGACAGCCGAGTGTGAGTGGTGCGGGTTGGTCGAATCGATCCCGCACTTTCTCTTCTGCTGCAGAAAGTGGGAACAGCCGGGACGGAAGCTCCGGTTGCAGCACGGAGGGCGATCCGGGGACCTGTCGTACGCGCTTGGGGGCTACTCGAGCCGGCAGGAGGGAGTCGAGAACATTGATGGACCGATCGAGCGATGGAAGCCAGAGCCCGGTCCCAGGCTCCTCTCGCTTCCGAGCACTGATCTGGCCATGACCAGGCTACGATAGAAAACTCTTGACACTTCTGCCTGTTAGTCTGTGAAGTTGTAATGCTCATGCACCCTGGAATGCTCAATGCCTCTCTTACTGTGAGCATTTACTACAGAGGCTGAAGTATGGAGAAAGAAGCAGAAAGAAGCAACTATAGGTGGCGTTGTAGCGGTGAAGCAGAGCTGCATCCCCTAATGGAACATGGTCTCTAGAAGCAGGACCTAAAAGCAATACGAAGTGTCCACGAAAGTTGCGCATCCGTAAATGCGCCCAAAAAGGAGCAGTTAACAGTCAAATTAGACGACGTAATTGCTTTAGCTACGTTCTTTTTTTCCAGTGCGACGTCAACGTCAAAGTGCCGGAGACGGCAAACTAGCCTTGGCCATGCGTTCTAGGCCCCTCCAAACCCAGTGAATCTGGTTAGCCTAGCTTTCTCGCTTAAGTGGGCCAATCGCATTGCGCCTGCTTCAGATCACTCTCAGATCTGACATCTAACCTATTATAGTAAGGCTGCCCCCAAAACTCACGGACCGCACGCATCTCTATTATTCACTATACATCTTGCCAAGCCTTTTCTCTTATTAGTTTAAAAAAGGGCTAGATTAATGTCTAATTAGCCTATAAAACTTTCTACTACTTTTATAAATATTCTAAAGTTTCAAGGTAAATAAATATATTTTACTAAGTTTATAACTATATTCTAGATATTTGTTACGGTCTATAGTTGGCACAATGTAACGCCACCCGGATTGCCCCGCTGTTTAACCAAGTTGGAACAAACTCCAGACGGCGACCAATGGGAACCCCCGGAGGCGGCCCCATGGCACCCGATCGGAACAGAATGCGTCATCTAATAGGGATGGAGCACAAAGGAGCTCAGGGAGCTCTTAGTAGCTTAGAGGGTGTAAGCTCCTAGAGCTCCCCTAAACTACCTCTTAGCAAAAATTATTATGTATATAATTACGCAGTTAATTAACCCTAAGGAGGTGTAATTAAAGTTTAGTTTATCTTTTCATAGACTAAGTAGCATCTAGCTTTCTAAAAAGCTAAATACTATTTATATTTCTTACACTATAAATACTTCTAATTCTGTTATTAAGACTGTTTAACCTAGCCCTATACTGCTGTTAAAGGCAAACCACCATTTAGCTATTCTATCCCCACCTCTGTCGCCCACTAGCACGTGCGATAGAACTGTAGACCCTATCTGTTGCTCCTCTATTCTAACCATACCTAGCCCAAGTGCTTCTATAAAGCAAGGATTATAACATTAATTACTAACCTCTAAGAAAGTATAACTCTTTACAACACTAATTTAAACATAGCTAGCGCAGCTCTATTAGAGTTCTAAGTTAAGCTAACTCTTAATAAAGGCGCTTTTATAGGACAAATTAACTTAGTCTAACAAGATATTAAAGAACTATAATAACTATAAGCTAAGATAGCTAATCTTACTACTTTATAAAATAAAGTTATTTAACTCTAATAAAAAATTACTATACTAGATGCTCTGCTACAGGTAACAAGCCCCTAACAGGCATTAGCAGCTAGCGCATAGATACATGCTCTCTAGGTAGGGATAGCAAGCCTCTTGAATGCTGCTGCAGAAAAAACAAGCATTGCTGCTGAAAAGACTTTAAGACTAGCCCTCTTAAAGGCTTTTAAAGAATTACTTAAAGACCTCTAATTATTTTTTACCTAATGCTATTTATATATGCAGTATAACTAAGGAGCATTTTAGTCCCACAAAGAAATAATATTCTAGATAGGCCTACACTTTAAAGGTCCCCTAGTAATATAGTTCTAGCTACATACTAATAATTAAATGTAATTTAAAGCTAATAGCACTACTCTAAACTTTAAAACTAAAGAAATATTTAGTAGTATTAATGCATTTAAAGATGCCTTAACAACTATTTATAGAACTATAGACAAACAAAAAATAGCAGCAGATAAATTAAATGCCCTCTAATAAGAAAAAAAGACTGCCTAACTCTACGCAGCTTACTTTAGGGAATTATTAGCTATATGTAGATAGACTAACTAGAAAGCACTATGCAGAATGTTTTATAACAGACTAAAGGACTCTATTAAGGATAAATTTACTTATAATACGAAACTAACTATGCTAGAAGACTTTATAGGCAAAGTAATACTCTATAATAATTGCTATAAGGAACAAGAATAACAAAAAATGTAAGAAGAAGCCCTCTAGAAATCTAAGTTTATTCTTAGAAAGAAAAAAGCTCCTTAATATAATAAAGAACTAATAGACCTTAGTTATGTAAAACATATATAAAGCTACCCTTTAAAGAAAAGCTAAGCTTTTAGACGTGTTAGGCTGCCTTTAACTAAGAAGTAATAAAAGTAGCTAGAAGACAAGGCCTGCCTAAATTATAAAAAAGTAAAACACTTTTGCTATAATTGCCTAAACTCTAAGAAGAGGGAGAATAAAGGTACTACTGTAATAGTAAAAGCTGTTACTATTAAATATAGTCTTATAGATAAAGAGATCTTATAAAGGCTAGATAAAGAACTCTACTAAAAATGTAAAGAGGACTACGCCTTAGAGAGCTGCCTAATCCTATACTAGAAGATAGTTCTCTAACATTTAAACAGACTAGATTAGGCGTTGCAGGACATTATAATTCTTAAAGGATATAAAAAAGAAACCTAGATAAAAGGTTACATTACTAATGTATATAAAAGGAAAAAACACTTTCTCTTTAACAACTTAACACCTAGCCTTTTAGTAAATGAACTTAACTAGTAGTTCTAGAAAAAGTTATGCTAGAAATGTAGCAAAAGATATTACTACTTAGAAAAATGCAATTTAGAACTAACAAATGTAGTTATTGCTAATAACTTTAACACATTTAACATAATTAAAAGAATAGCTAGAGTACTATACAACATTATAAGTGTAAAGGACTAGTAGACCTTCTTTAGAGATGTTAGGGACTAGAAGCTTATGTAAATTTATAAGGGCTTTAAATTTAGGTTCTCTAAACTAACTATAGACAGGCTGCGTACGCCTCTCCCTAGCTTAGCTATAAGCTAAAAAGATTTAATTTACTAATAAAATAATAATAAATGCACCCTGTGCAGAACAGGATCCTATAGAATAAATGCATGCTAATAGAAGGAACACCCCTTCTAAGTAATAAGAACTAGAGACTATCCTAGATAGACACAAGACTGTCTAATTATTACTCTTTAGCAGGAAAACAAATGTCTGTTTCTATAGTACTAGTGCGTACAGCGTTACTGTCACTAGCATTAGGAAGACAAGCATAGGACAGGATAGTGGCCTATAGAAGGGCAAGGATTGCCTAGGGAAGAACTATAAATAGGCCTGCTATTAGCATGCTAAGTGGCTAAATGCTTTACCTGCAAGAACTTAGACTCCTATAAAAGAAAAAGATAGTACAAGTGTTCTATAACGTCTAGGTGCACAACTTATTACTTTTAATAAAGGTTAAGCTAGTTAAATAATTAAGCCCTATATGTAACAAGGTTGGCACAGTCAACCACGTGGCCTTCTCTCGCTTATAGAGGTTTAGGCTAGGCTAGAGACAACCGCTAGTGCTAGTGCTTACCCTAGCATTGCCTATATATATATTATACTATGCGAGAATACTTGGCTTAAGTATTCTCGTGCGTACCTTTTGGTACAGTGGGGAAAGTCGTATAGTATCGGCTTGGCAGGCGGGGTGCCTACCTCATTATACTATACTACTATCTAATAAAAGATTATAACTATAAATCCCCTAATTGCTATGTTAAGGGCTATACCCTCTACAAGAAAAGGCTAGCAGAACAAAATAACAACCCTTAGGACATAAGCCTTAACTTAGGATTAAACTATAAGGAAATATGTTATAATGCTAGGGCACTAGTGGCAGTAGGCTAAGGGACAGGACAAAGCCTCACTATAGTATTTACTTTTAGCACAAAAGAAGGACTAGCCTTAATTAATAGCAGGTGCACCTTTACTACTATTAACATAAAATAGATTAAAACCTACAACATCCTCTACTAGATAAAGAAAAATTTCTTTAAAGTTACACTAGCTAACGCTTTGTTAATAGAATATAGTAGAGGATCGATTAACTTAAAAACTTATAACAACTATCTAGCAACATTAAACATAAAGGACTACTAAAGCCTAAGCATATTTGTCAGATTGAAGCACTGTTTCTGGGCTTCCTGAGATGAATGATGGGTTTGGATATGATGTATGGGATGATTGATTGATTGTATTGATTGTGTTGATTTATCGATCCT